ATTATATTTTAGATTTTTTATATTTCAAATAAAATGTTTATCTTGTATTTGATTATGTTTATTTGCAATTAGTTACACGAATTCAGATATGGAGCTTTAATAAGTTGTACTTACACAAAATCCACTTGTAATATTGAGTTTTAAGTAATATGCATTAATAAACAGTACTTTACGTATAAAAAGTAGTTTTTAAGAGTTTTTGTCAAATGTTTTATATTATAGTATTGATTTTTTTTAATTTAAGTTTAATAATGAAATAATTTATTTTTGGTTTAATAATATAACATTTTATAAAGATAATAATTAAGTATTTTGTGTTTATCTGCAGTTAGTTACACGAATTCAGTTATGGGATAAAATCGGATAAGGATGAGCGGGTTTAAGAGTTTTTAAGAGTTTTAGCCAAATGCTTTATAATATAGTACAGATATATATATAAATGCTTGATAATATAATATAAATATTAGAAGGGTACTCGCAGAATGCAACGAGATATATTTTGGCTCTATCGATGTTATAATGCGATTTTATGTGGTTTTGAGAAAAGAAAAATGTTTTTGTTTTTGAAAGAAATATAAATTTGAAAATATAATAAAAATTTTAAAAAAGAAAGGGATATTAATATAAAATTGACTACTTAAAAGTTCGTTTTTTTGTAATTTCTTTAATTTAATTTTTTATTATAATTTAATTGAACTTTAATAACGAACTAATTTATTTTTGAGTTAATAAAATAAAATTTTAAGATAATAATTAAGTATTTTGTTAGAACTTAATGATTATCTTATTATATTTTATATTTTTTATATCTAAAATGATGTTTATCATGTATTTGATTATGCTTATCTGTAGTTAGTTATACGAATTCAAACATAGAGCTTTAATAAAATGTACTCATGCACTTTCTACTTGTAATTTTGAATTTTAAGTAATATGTATCAATAAGCAGTATTTTATGCATAAAAAATTGTTTTTAAAAATTCTTGTCAAATGATTTATAATATAGTATAGATATAAGTATGTTTAAATGAGAACCACAAATATTTTGAGAACAGATAAACCAATTTGCGATAGATATTCATCATGAAAAGACTAAAATTACAAGGTTGGTCTTTAGGAAAACAACTTTTAAAATCACCTTTCATGGCTTGAAACAAACTTTACAACAAATCGTTTTTGTGGGACGTTGAATATGCGTCTTTTTATTAACCTGGATAACCAACACGTTATGCGAACCGACTAATCCCAGAACGACCACCTGCTTCGCATCTTGAAAATAGATGTTTTCAATAATTCAACAATATATATAGAACCAAATTCAGGAGAAATTCTCAAAAAAAATGAAAAACCAAAGAACACCCTGATAACCGTTCATCTGGATCATATGCACATGTGCATGCGAGTAATTTATTAGCAATTTGTCTGGTATGCACAAATGCATAACCAAAAAATAGTTTCAATTAGTTAAGTGCATACGGTTCAGATAAACGCTTACCAGAGTATTGTTCAGCTTTTCATGGCTCTGTATATATAAATATAAATACAATTTTGTAGTGACTTTATTTGGAGAGTGAGAGTAGATTGAAAACATGATGGGCTATGTTTTGGGCATCCATAGCAGCTCCATAGAGGCCTCTTCTTGCAAGCCCAACACAAAAAAGCCCATTATCTCCTTTCCAATGGTTTGGATACATGGGCTTTGCTAACCCATCTTCATTTATAAGAAAATCATCTCCCTGTACATTTCAACCAAATATTTATCAGTTTCATATTTATATTTATATTTTTAATTTTTAAATATAATAATATAAATCCACTTATATATATATATATATATATATATATATATATATATATTAGAAGAGTACTCGTGCAATGCAGCGAGACATATCTTGATTTTAATGTTCTATTTTATTATTTGTCTCTGTCGATGTTATAATACGATTTTATGTGTTTTTAATAAAGCAATAATGATTTTATTTTTGAATAAAATATAAATTTGAAGATGTCATAAAATTTAAAAAATATATATATATCAATGTTCAT